CTATCTATCTATCTATCTATCTATCTATCTATCTATCTATCTATCTATCTATCTACCTACCATATCAATCTATCTATCTATCCACCTACCTACCTACCTACCTATCTACCTATCGTATCTATCTATGGATGGATGTATCTATCATCTTCTGAAACTCAAATACTTTCTCTAATGAGAAGGAAGGACTCCCTGGAGAAGAATTTAATGCTGGGAAAAATTGAAGGCAAAAGTAGATGGGGACAACAGAGGATGAGGTGGCTGGATGGAGTCACTGAAGCAGTAGGTGTGAGCTTAAATTGACTCCAGAGGATGGTAGAGGACAGGAAGGTTGAAATAATATTAACAATTGTAGATCTGGGATTGTAATCTTGTGATGTTTTCATACTCCTGTTTTGTACCTTATGGGTGAAGCAAGGAAAGTGAAAGACACATGCCTACGTTTAACACATTTCCTCTTAATTTAAATTCCTAAACTAAAGATAAAGGTTCCCCTCACACATATGTGCTAGCCGCTCCCGACTCCAGGGAGCGGTGCTCATCTCCATTTCAAAGCCGAAGAGCCAGCGCTGTCCGAAGACATCTCTGTGGTCATGTGGCATGACTCAATGCTGAAGGTGCATGGAGCGCTGTGACCTTCCCACTAAAGATGGTTCCTATTTTTCTACTTGCATTTTTACGTGCTTTCGAACTGCTAGGTCGGCAGAAGCTGGGAGAAGTCACGGGAGGTCACTCCATTACGCGGCGCTGGGGATTCGAACCACTGAACTGCTGTCCTTTCTGATCGACATGCTCAGCGTCTTAGCCACTGAGCCACTGTGTCCCTTTTTTTAAAAATTCCTAGCAAGCACAATTTAAGATTTTTGTGAGCCTTAAAGCTCTGGCAGTCTTCTCAATGTAGAATTACATTGCAACATGTTGGCAATGAGGGGGAAAGGTTTCTAAAATCTTATTATTATTATTTTTTCCATTCATGGCCACCCCAGGAGGATCGGATGAGACCTTCAGGAAGAGAATGATACTGTTCTTCGTGCAAACAATATTGCTTACACTTAGGAAAAAATGCAATGTCCCAGAGGATGACTAATGGAGCCTGTCTTCCAAGATGTGACCCAGACTAGCTTTTAAATTGAGGCCACAGGTTGACCTTCCCTGAGAGACCAGGCAAAGAAAATCAGATTGTTTTAAAATCAGTCATTAGTGATTAAGGACAATCTACTTCCCATACTCTGCCCAGGCCAAGCATATAAAAATCTATCCACTGTTGTCACTTGTGTGGTTGTGGCTAAGAGCATAGTGTCTTGTAACCTCCAATTAACCCATTCTTTGCCACTGCAAGCTTGCAACCTAGGGGAAAGTAGTAGAACAGAGGTCCTTAATTTTGATTGGTAAAGCTTGCAACCTAAAGAGAAACAGTAGAATAGAGGCTCTTAATATTGATTTGTTGTTAGTCGTGTCCGACCCATCGCGACCCCATGGACAACGTTCCTCCAGGCCTTCCTGTCCTCTACCATCCTCTGGAGTCCATTTAAGCTCACGTCTACTGCTTCGGTGACTCCATTCAGCCACCTCATTCTCTGTCGTCCCCTTCTTCTTTTGCGTGGCACGACAAAACCGCGCTCGACTAAGCCGCGCCCGATTAAACCACGTCACTGACGTCATCAGCAGGGCAACAACAGCGAGCGCAGAGAAAGAAGGGCGCTTTAAATAGCGCTTTGAAAACAAGCCGATTCAACTTAAGGTAAGGGTTAGGTTTAGGGTTAGCTTTAGGGTTAGGGTTAGGGTTAGGGTTAGGGTTAGGGTTAGCTTTAGGGTTAGGTTAAGGGTTAGGATTAGGTTACGGGTTAGGATTAGGTTTAG